TTAAATCTGCTCCACTTCCAATATTTAGCATCCAGCTTGAAGAATCTACAGACGTTCCAAACTGTTCACAGTTACTGGTTTGCCTGCGGTATATTAATGATGGCGACTTTAAAGATGAGTGTCTTTTTTGCAAACCTCTTGAAACAACAACTACTGCACGTGATGCATTTAACACAGTTGGTTCATTTTTGAAAGAGCATAAGATCTCTTGGGAAAAGGTTTGTGGTGTTTGTGCAGACGGTGCTCCAGCTATGCCAGGATGTCAATATGGATTCCAACATTTGGTACTGAATGAGTCACCAAACGTCATCGGAACTCACTGTATGATTCATTGGCAAATATTAACAATGAAGATGCTGTCACAAGAGTTACAAGAAGTAATGAAAATCATCATAAGTTATGTCAATTTTGAAAAGTCGACTTAAACAGTCGACTATTTTGGCAACCGTGCGATGAGTTGGATGTGCTCAGTAATGCTCTGCTATTTCACACTGAAGTGAGATGGTTGTCGAGAGGAAAAGTTTTAAAACATGTTTTTGAGCTTCGTGATGAACTCAAAACATTTTTTTAAATTACCTTATTTGTAACAGTAGGGACTATGTCAGATATTTTTCTCAAGTGGCAAATGAGGCAAAAGATAACATTTCTCTCTGATTCCTAAAGAGAACCTCAAAATCATCTGTCTTTTGGAGGATTCAATTTCTTACGATGTCTATGATACTGCCCATGAGGATACCAACGGTGCTTCCTAGTAAAGAACATTTTGCTAAGTTGTTCTATCATAGGTCCTTGTTCAAGGAGCTAGTCTTTCACTTCTAATCAAGTTTTCAGCACCTGATCATGTGTTTCTTCACTGTTATGGATAAGATCTGACCGAGGAATAATAGGTTTTGTATGTTCATATGGAATGTCCACAGAAGGGTAGTAGCATACCATTGTCCTGCCATCTGATGTCAAAGCAAGCTCAATCTTGCAATTCTAGTCATCTGGGAGAGACTGTAGATTTATGACAAACACTGTATGAAACTCCATTTCGAATTGGAAAGAAATGTTTCAGGACAGTTCTGTTTGACAGTGCCCAAGTGACTGCTGCTACTG